CACACACTTCAGGTCAGCTCCTACTAGAGGTTCTCATAGCTTCTTCAAACTCAACCCAAGTCCTGCCTGTTGCACATCACAATTCTCTCTGAGCCTTAAGCAAGAAATTTACAGTAGTTTCCCCTCTCTCGCCTAAATAATTGGTAGTCAGGTCCAGCAGCTTCCTGCTTTGTTATGCCATCCCAATTGTTCATTCTTCTTTGTGGCCAAATCCTTAGTTCTAGTCTCCTGGCAGTTCCAAGTTCCAAATTAGATTTCTTTGCCTTCACTTTGCTAATCTCTGCTCTCTCTACTCAGCTACTTCACTAGAAGTATGGGAACTTCATATGCTCAACAATTCTACTGTGTCACAATTCAAGACTGGCTACAGCCCTCTCTCTTCACCCAAGGGGCTGCTGCCCTCACCTATCACCCACTGACTCGTTTTCTCCCCCACTTGGTTCTTTAGTTTGAACCTGTTCTTCCAGTCAAAGAGCATTTTCCCCTTGTGGAAGATTTTTGTTAAAATGGTGGTTAAAGGAAGAGAGGCTCCTGAAACCAAACACAGTATTTATTTTTAATATCTATGGGTTAATTTTAACAAAAAGTTATCTTGCAAATTCCACCCCAAGTGGATAAGGCCTGTCCCAGGCACAATTTTAACTAGACTGAGATTCCACCACCAAGTCAAAAGCCATGTTATTGAAGCAGCACAACCACTCCTAATTCCTGGAGGGAAAAGTCCTAACCAATAGGAACAAGATATAAGAACAATAAAACTGGTTAATCCCACCAAACAAATAAAGACTATATTTGTTTAGAGAGGTGTTTCACCAAAACAGAATCCGGGACCCCAATATGGCCCTCTAAACAGAAACATATATACAAGACTTTAGTCATTTGACTCTGAGGATTTCTGGTGGAAAAAGCAATTTACCTTTTTCCCAATTAACATGACCCGGCAACCGTTTTGTATTCCAAGTTCTGACAATGGTGTCTCCATTTCCTTTAGAGATTTTCCTGAAAAGAGAAGAAAGGCATGCCAAGTTGTAACAAGTGTGTAACACTGAAGATAGATTTCAGCAAGTGTACAGGTAATAGACAAGCGTGTTCACTAATAGGCAAAAGATAAATTGGTATAACCTTTTTAAAGGGTGTCTAAACCCAGTAATTTCACTTCTAGATATTTATCCTAAACTAATAACTGCACAGTAACTATTATATAATAATATTCTGTGCAACCATATTCATAATTATGAGAAACTGGAAAAAGCCAAGTATTTAGGAATAGGGGACTGATTATATCTATCCATACAATAGAAGATTTTGTAGGCATTAAAACTTATTTTTTCAGGAAACTTCAATTCCACAGTGAATGCTCATCACCCCATATTATTATGAGGGGTTTCACCCAGGGGAACATTTTTGTCTTTGTGCTTTCCTCTATTTTGAAACATGAATTTCTGCTGTCTTCATAATTATGAAATAAATTTTTTTACAAAAGACAAGAAGTTACACTATGAAATATAAATAAAAATGTTTCCTATTACTAAATTCTTTATACTGGCTGATATCCAATGGGATAAATCTGCCCCCATCAGATATCAGAATAATAAGTTCCCACGGGAGTGTGAAGACAGAAGAGAGAGGTAAGTCCTGACAGAAATCAGCATCATCTGTTCGGCCTGCCACATCCAGGGCCCAGGTAAGTTTGTTTAAAACCTACTTTGGGACCGGGCACGGTGGCTCATGCCTGTAATCCCAGGACTTTGGGAGGCTGAGGCGGAAGGACTGCTTGAGGTCAGGAAATCGAAACCAGCGTGGGCCACATTGTGAGACTCCATCTCTATTTAAAAAAAAATAGAAAACAAAAACTAAATAAATGTCTCTTTTTAAAAAAAAAAGTCTTTGAATAAAAAAAATATTCGTTTAGTCAACATAGTGCCAAGCACTGGAAACATAGCAGTATTTCTGCTCTCATAGAGTTTGTTATTCTAACAGAGAAATCAGATGTTAAGCAACTAAGAAATTATTTAATAGTATCAACCAATTTCAATACAAGGTATGCAGGGTCCCATGTGAACATATAACGAGAAGATCTAACCTAGCCAAGGAAAACTGCCCATATACTTCATCAAAAATGGTGAGATTGGCCAGGCACAGTGGCTCACACCTGTAATCCTAGCACTCTGGGAGGCTGAAGTAGAAGGATCGCTCAAGGTTAGGAGTTCGAAACCAGCCTGAGCAAGTGCGAGACCCTGTCCCTACTAAAAAAATAGAAAGAAATTAATTGGCCAACTAAAAATATAAAGAAAAAATTAGACAGCCATGGTGGCACATGCCTGTAGTCCCAGCTGCTTGGCTACTTGGGAGGATGAGGCAGGAGGATTGCTTAAGCCCAGGAGTTTGAGGTTGCTACGAGCTAGGCTGACGCCATGGCACTCTAGCCAGGGCAAAAGAGTGAGACTCTCTCTCAAAAAAAAAAAAAAAAAAAAAAAGGTAAGATTTCTTCCATCATCATGTGACTTCAAATCTGATACTTGTCTAGATATTTTAAAGTGTCCAGCACACAACAGGTCCTCAATAAATACTTGTTGAAGAAATGAATGAATAATCAAATAAGTAAAAATTGTCCCGGTTTGAAAACTGAAAGAGTTACCATTAGGAAAGGCTAAGTAGTTTCAAATCTTTCCTTTAGCCATAAGGGTTCAAAGCTAGAAGAGATAGAACCTGACCTGTCCAAAGAAATATAAAAAGAAAAGAAAAAAAAAAAGCTGGAAGAGAAATGCCTACCTTTAAATATGAGTTTCTGAAAAGGCAGTGGAACCCCTGTGGCCTCTTCAACAACCTGGGCCAGGTCTTGGACAACTGGTTCACTACTGCCCTGCTGGGGGGTAACATGAAGGTCGTGCTTCTCATTGCCTGGGGAGAAAGAAAAGCATTTGATGAAAATGTCTCTTTCATATAAACCAATATAGGCTAACTCTTCATTAAACTTATTTACCGGTACCAGCCTTTAAGGCCTAATTTATATGCCACCTATTCCAAAGAGCCTATCCCCATCTGCCCTGGTTTCCTCTGGTGACCTGGTCAAAGATTTGTTTCTTCTATTATAATAATTAACAATATGAATGATATTAGCTAACATTTTAAGCACTTGTCATGCACAAGGGGCTGTACTAGGTTCATTTCATGCATTATCTTATTCAATCCTGAGAACAACCCCATGAAGTAGGTACCTATTATTCCCTATTTCACGGATGAGCAAACTGTTAATTCCAGTTAAGTCCTGCCCATTAAGAGCCAACTGGATGAGCCAGAACTTGACCTCAGATCTAGCTGATTCCAAAGCCCATGCTTTTCATCCCAAGTCATCTACCTCCTGTGGCCTGACTGCTCTGTACCCTGTATTGTACCGATCTTGTCTCCCTTAAGGGACTGTTTTCCTCCAAGTCTCAGCACACTTAGAGTACACCCATAGTTGGTGCTCAGTAAATAGACAAATGAATACAGTCAGCAGATAATTTTTTTTTAAGCAGAGATGCCAGTTCTATTCCAGGGATGTGGACAGTAAGGAGGTAGCCTGTGCCCAGTGTATTACACCAAGCTTTGAGCTCCCCCAACAGCTCCATAAGGTCAGTGGGGGCAAGGGTTACCAATTCCACAGATAAGATACCAGTTGCCCAGAAAGGAGACATTCAACCCAAGGTCACTCAACATTGCAGGATCTAGAATCCTGGTCTCCCCTACTTGGTTCTGAGAAAACTTTATCGACTCAGCTCTCCAGTGCACTGACGTTGTTTGTTTCTGTGTCCACTCCAACAGGCAGACCCAAAGGGTGCCCAGAGTGTAATTCTTGTACCCACAGGCCACTCAAACAGCGGACATGAGGCGTTCGACATCGAGAAAGCACTCAATAAATAAGGAACACCCTTCCAAGTACGAAGTTCAGACTCATCCCAACATGGTCGAATACAACCCTGAAAAAAAGACCCACAATAACTGTGCGGGCACAAAAACAACTAGGCTCACGATGTGAAGCACGGACACGCTCGAACACCCAGGATCAAGCAAATGTCCTGGACCAAGCAAAAGAGACAAAATACACCAGCCACATGGAAAGGTGTGCTGACACAGCCCGGGACAAAGCTGGCCCCACGGACACAGCCAAGAACCCACACCTCCGGAAGCCAGGATAAACACAAGGACACACGCTTCTGGAGGACAGGTGGGCAAACCCACAAACCCTGTCAGATCTTCGGACCCGGCAGAGAGCCCACCCGGCTTGCCCGGCACTCACTGTGGGTGACTGTCACGGTGAGCCCGGCTGCCGCCATTTCCTCCCCGGTCACCTCGCTCCGGGCCACCTCTTCGCTCTGGACCACTTCCTCGCTCTGGGCCACCTCCTCGTTCCGGGCCACCTCCTCGCTCTGGGCCACCTCCTCGCTCCGGGACACCTCCTCGCTCCGGGACACCTCCTCGCTCCCGGACACCTCCTCGCTCCGGGACACCTCCTCGCTTTGGGCCACCTCCTCGCTTCGGGACGAGCGGGGCCGGACTTTCTTCTTCACCCGCGCCCTTTGAGCGCCGGCGGCGGCGGCGGCGGCGCCCCTGGTGGGTCGGTCATGCCCGCTGGCTACACTACGGACGGACCGACGTTGAGAGGCCGGCGGGCCGCGGTCGGCCGGGGGCTCCGACTGGCGCGGCTCCCGGCCTAACCGCGTAGCGCGCCGCGGGGGGCCCAGCCGCTCCCGGTCGCCTCGCGGTCTCTGCGCGCCGCCGCGCTCCGCCAGGCCCGCGCTTGTTGACCACCCAGCGATCGTAGCTGAGCGGCGCGGCTTACAACCCGGCCCGGCGTCTTCCTGGCCCCTTCCCAGGCTCCTGGCCACGCCTCTGGGAGCCGGCCCCACGCTTGCCCCGCCCCATTTCGCTAAGGGCGCCTCCAGGCCCCACCCACTCAATCGAGGCCCCGCCTCGCTCACCTGGGGCCCCGCCCACTCCCTACACCGGGGCCCCACCCTCTCCAGTCTCCCTCCGGATGTCCCCAATCCTCTTTCCCCGGAAGGCCGTGCTGAAAAGGATCGGGAAGCACCAGCAGGCACATTGCGCTTGCGCACGGGTGGGCCGGAAGTTGAGGCAGAAATGACTCTACTTCCGTTTCTGGTTTTGCTCCAGTGTTTGGGTTTCTTCGCGGCCGCCCAAGATGAATCGTTTCTTCGGGAAAGCGAAACCCAAGGCTCCGCCGCCCAGCCTGACTGACTGCATTGGCACGGTGGGCACTTGATCATGCTTAATTTGGCCATGGATGCCTCTGACACCCCCACCCCCGCCCACCCCCAGCCCCTTTCTCCCAGCCCTCCACAGCATTCCTGGTCCTGGGCCCATTACACTTCGTCCCTCTCCATCCCATCTTCGTTCCTTTATCCCTGTTACCCAAGCCATTACTGACGCCACAAACAAGAGACCCCATAACCTCATCACTGCCTCGCCCTACCTGTACCCTACCTGCTCTGATGCCCATTGCCCGTCAAATCTCTCTCGCTTTGATCCCCTCACCCCAACCAGCCCTAGGCCCATACACCCTTCCCACCTCGTCCAGCCTGACCCCTTACCCTTCGTCTTTCCTTCCTTCTCCTTTGCCCACATCAGGACTCCCGGCTTGGTATCCTAGGTCAACATATCTGTACTTCAATCTTGGATCTGAGTAACACAAAATTCAGAACGCTGGCCCCTCAGATTAAGCCTCCGCCCCAATCTAGGGACTGGCATTAAGTAGTTCTACAGTCTTAGCCAGTGTCCACTGGGCACTGGCCCATTTAACATGCCTCCTGGTTGAGCTCTTAGTCTGATTAGTCTCTGATTTCAGAGAAATTCCAACTCAGCCTAGTGATTCTCAAACTATTTTTCTGTTCCAACACACTTGAGGGGCCTGGTATATTAGAATCTGGGGGTTGAAGTATAGTTTATAAAAGCCCCCCCAGTATTTCTGACTGGGAATCTCAACTGTTTTCCACCCTTCACCACACGCGTTTCTTTATTTTTTTTCTTCCTCCATATTCCTGTCCGCCTGCTCCCTCTGATGTAAGTGTATTGCAGTAACTGCCACTACATTTAATATTTTTCCCTAAGGTGGACAGCCGAGCAGAATCCATTGACAAAAAGATTTCTCGATTGGATGCTGAGCTAGTGAAGTATAAGGATCAGATCAAGAAGATGAGAGAGGGTCCTGCAAAGGTAAGGCAGGTGGCAGCTGCTGCAGAAGGTACTGTGACACCTAATTTTTTTTTTTTTTAATATTGAACACTGATTTGGAGCAAGTGACAGCCTTATTTGAGCACCTGTAGAAGTAGAGCCTGGTGGTAGGTGCTGGTGAAAGATTCAGAAGAGATGCTCACAGTTTGGTAAGGATATAGTGAGAGTGTATAATATAGTAAAATATAGTGAGAGTGTATCCTTCAGTTAGAGGAGGGAGTTTAGTTTGCTGCCAGATGTATCAGGGAGGCAAGGGTTTGGTCTGGTGGAGAGAAGATGCTGACCACTTGTCCAGAAGCATGTACCTGGGAATTAGCATATTCTACTGACAAGGCAGCAATTTGGAGAGGTGGGCTCACTGTGCTCAGGATTAGTGAGTTGCCAGGCTGGTCAGGTTAAGTCAGTAACCTGACCGACTGATACTTTCAGTCTCACAGACTGGTTAAGGAGTGGCCTGCTGGGAGAAATTATTGAAGTAGGCATCTGGGACTGGTGTTTGAATACTAACACTATCACTGTCTATTAGTTGTGACCTTGATAAAGTCACCTAACTTATTTTCTGCTTCTGTTAGGTCAGAGCATGAAGTACTGTGTTTAAGCGCATGGACTGTGAATATAGAACTATCTTGTTTCTTCCAGGTCTACAACTTATTAATCATGTGAGACAAGGCATCACTTGACCTCAATTTTCCCATTTATAAAATGGGGATAATACCTACTTTACAGTGTGAGAATTAAACGAGATCAAGTACATACTAGCACTCAGTAAATGTTAGTTATTATCGTCTGTAAAGGAATATCTACTTTTCCTGCCTCATTGGAGGAGGCAAATAAAATGACATGTGGAACATTATAGAAAGGGAAGGCTTTTCCCAGCCATCTTAGTTTATGGTGTGGAATGAAGTCCAAACATGGTGGTGGTGGTTATGAGAGAGTGACAAGAAAAGAACTCAGTTTGAAAGCGAATTCTGAAAATCAGGTAACAGGATGACTGTGCATGAAGAGACAAAGAGAAATGATAAAGTTGACGTAAAGGTTTTCAGTCTAGAGAAGTGAAAGATTGGTGGGGCCGTTGTTACTTATTTCCAGGGTAACATAAGGTTGAGGAGTTTGGGCATGTTAAATTTGGGTTGATAGAATATCCAAGTGGGGAACTGCCCTAAGGCAACTGAATATACAAAATCAGCACTGTTGGGCCTGGGGGTGAAGATAATATGCATTGGGGAAGGGGAAAGTAGTTCAGGACACTGAGATGTGGATGCAGACAGATAGGAGCTAAGGCTTAAAGACTGAAGCATAGAGATATCTGTGCTTGGGATGGAAAGAACAGAATCCAGGAACCACTGTGTTTACTATTTGAAGATGAGAGTAAGTAGTAGCTATGTGTGTTTGAGGATATGAGAGATTTCTTTTACTATATGCATGTTTTCCACTTTCTTTTTATTAAATCTGTTTTTCTCCCCAGAATATGGTCAAGCAGAAAGCCTTGCGGGTTTTAAAGCAAAAGCGGATGTAAGTTGTACACATAAGCTCTTTCCCTCTAGCAGGTTTAACCAAAAGGGAAATGGTCTTCCATTCCTTCAGCTTTTTCTACCACTTTCTAAGCATTCTTGATTTAATTACAAATTTTCATTGACATATAATTAAATATAGTTAGCTAGGTTCCCCTACACACATGTTCAGCAACATCTGTTGTAATCTAAATAGAACTTTTTGTCATGATGATGTTTTATATCTGTGTGTCCAGTACAATAGGCAGCAGCCACACGTGGCTAATTGAGCACTTGAAATGTGTTTAGTGTGACTAAGGAACTGAAGTTTAAATTTCATTTAATTTTAATAATTTAAGTAGCTATATGAGGCTAATGACTGCTCTTTTGGACTGGCCAGGTCTGTAGGGTTTGGTTCCACCATTATTTATTTAGTTAGGCTATGCTTTTTTGTTTTTGTTTGCTCGTAAAGTTAGGAATCCTGAATATTTGTTCACTCTCACCAGAATAAATTTAAGGGTCCTTAATTTTTTTAGGTGACTATGCCCCAATTTTAAGCAAAAGCCAAAAAGTATCGTTAGTTCTTACACGTGTGGATTGTTCTGCTGATGAGATCCTCTGCAGGGTTGTAGAGGTCAGACATAATCAGCCTGAACAAGAAAGATTGTTGATATCTCTCTTCCTTTTTTTTTCCCCTAAGAGACAAAGTCTCACTCTGTCACACAGGGTGGAGTGCAGTGATACAGTCATAGCTCACTGTAACACTCCTAGGTTCATTCCTCCTGTTTGGTTTCCTGAGTAGCTAGGACTATAGGTATGTGCCACCACGCCTAGCTTTATTTTTTTTTTTCCTTTTTTTTTTCTTTGAGACACAGACTTGCTCTGTTGTCCTGGCTGGAGTACAGTGGCATCATCATGGCTCCTTTGATCCTCCTGCCTCAGCCTTCCCTCCCAAGTAACTGGGTCTACAGGCACATGCCACCATACCCAGCTAATTTTTCTATTTTTTGTAGAGACAGGGATCTCACTCTGGCCTAGGCTGGTCTCAAACTCCTGACCTCAAGTGATCCTCCCACCTCAGCCACCTAGAGTACTAGGATTACAAGCGTGAGCTACCACACCCAGCCCCAGCTAATTTTTAAATTTTTTGTAGAGATGGGGTCTCACTGTGTTGCCCAGGCTTGTCTTAAACTCTCAGCCTCAAGTGATCCTCCCACCTCCCAAAGTGCTGGAATTACAGGTCTGAACCAATCCTGCCTCCCTTCCTATTTTAAAATGACTTTTTATAAGATATCAGATACCATCTTTCTCCTTTTAGAGTAGATCAAGTTGGAAAAAGAAATTGTGATGCCTAGACTGATAAGAGTAAAGTAAAATGATTACCTTCTTAATTGGTAGCATTACAATTTTTAAGTATTATTTTATGAAAAGAATATAGGTTCAAGGCTGGGCGTGGTGGCTCATGCCTGTAATCCTAGCACTCTGGGAGGCCGAGGTGGTTGGATAGATCAAGGTCAGGAGTTCGAAACCAGCCTGAGCAAGAGGGAGACCCCGTCTCTACCAAAAATAGAAATTAATTGGTCAACTAAAAATATATATAAAAAAGAATTAGCCAGGCATGGTAGCACATGCCTGTAGTCCCATCTGTTCAGGAGGCTGAGGCAGGAGGATCTCCTGAGCCCAGGAGTTAGAGGTTGGTGTGAGCTAGGCTGACGCCACAGCACTCTAGCTCGGCAACAGAGTGAGACTTTGTCTCAAAAAAAAAAAGAATATAGATTCATTGTAGAAACCTGGAAAATACATAAACATGAATAGAAAAAAAGAAAACTTACTAGGTTCCCAGTACTAGAAATAACCACCTTTTGAATGCTTATTTCTGCCATTTATTTTCTCTGCTTGTGCATATATGCCATGTGTGCATATAATTTTTCAGAAGACACCAAAAGTATTGTGTGTTTATAGGCTATCCTTTTCTACTTAATGTTGTATCATGAGTATTTCCTTGTTCTTTAAAATATTCTTTGGGGCCAGGCATGGTGGCCCACATCTGTAATCCCAGCACTTTGAGAGGTCAAGGCAGGAGGATTGCTTGAGGCCAGGAGTTCAAAACCAGCCTGAGCAACACAGATCCCATCTCTACAAAAAAATTAAAAAATTATCTGGGCATGGTGGCATGCACCTATAGTCCCAGCTACTTGGGAGGCTGAGGCATGAGGATTGCTTGAGCCCAGGAGTTTGAGGTTGCTGTGAGCTATGATGATGCCATTGTACTCCAGCCCAGGTGATAGAACAAGACCCTGTCTCCAAAACAAAACTAAATATTCTTTGGAAACTTTAGATATTTTAATGGAATCATAATAATCTACCATTTGACTATACCATGAATTGACCACTGGTTGGATAGGTATTCAAGTATTCCAAATATTGTATATATAAAGACCATAGTGACATAAGTCTTTGAGATAGTTTTATAATTTGATTAAAACTTTATTTTAAAAAACATTTTGAACAGTAGATACTATATTAGGTCAGGTGGATGACCTAATTATGGGTACAAGATTAATATAATACCTGTCCTCAAGGGGTTAAGTCTACTGAAAAAACATTTAGTACATATGAAGAGCCTTAATACCATATTTCCCCGAAAATAAGCCCTACCCATAAAATAAGCCCTACCCATAAAATAATAAGGATTTCTAAGCATATGTGCAATATAAGCACTACCCCAAAAATAAGACCTAGTGGTGGGCGTGGCTACACAGTGCATCTGCACAACCCATGCATTTTGTCGCAGAGCCATAAAGAAGATGGGCAGCCCTTCTCATCTGCCCCATTGTGACAGCTACTATCCCAAAGGTGACTGGAAAGGTGCAGGCAGCCCTACCAACAAGGTCGGCTCCCCCTGTCAGGTCCTGGCCATCCTGTGCGTGCTGCAAGCTGAGGCTTTGAGGGGAAAATAACACATCCCCTGAAAATAAGCCCGAGGGTGTCTTCTTGAGGAAAAATAAATATAAGACCCTGTCTTATTTTCAGGGAAACACGGTAATAGTCTTACCTTTACCCCAAGAATTCCACTTCTGGGAATTTATTATAGTAAATAATTATGAAGACATATATTAAGATATGTGGTAACATAGGAAAAAAGCAAATGCTATAATATTAAGTGGAAAATATAGCTAAAATATAGTCATGTGCAGCATAGTGATGTTTCAGTCAATGACAGATGGCATTTACAATAATGGTCCCATAAGATTATGGTACCATATGTTTACTGTACCATTTCTATGTTTAGATACACAAAAACTGGTCATTGTGTTACAATTACCTACAGTATTCAGTACAGTAATACGCTGTACATATTTGTAGCCTAGGAGTAACTGGTTATATACCATACAGCCTAGGAGTGGAATAGGTTATACCATCTAGGTTTGTAAAAATACACTCTATGATGTTCACACTATGACAAAATTGCCCAACAATGCACTTTTCAGAACATATCCCTGTCATTAAGCAACCAGTGACTGTACATGCAAAGGAAAAAGACTGGAGGAATACATCAAATGATATTTGTGTTAAAGTGATTAAATTGTTTTTGCCAATTTTTCTGTATATTATTACTTTAATTTCTAAGGTTTGTTTAAGAAAATTTTTTTATTTCATAAGGGATACATTTTTTAATAATGTTATTACTTCCTTAAAACTAGCATTTCTGGCCAGGCGCGGTGTCTCACGCCTGTAATCCTAGCACTCTGGGAGGCTGAGGCGGGCGGATTGCTTGAGGTCAGGAGTTCGAAACCATCCTGAGCAAGAGCAAGATCTTGTCTCTACTATAAATAGAAAGAAATTAATTGGCCAACTAATATATATAGAAAAAATTAGCCAGGCATGGTGGCGCATGCCTATAGTCCCAGCTACTTGGGAGGCTGAGGCAGAAGGATTGCTTGAGCCCAAGAGTTTGAGGTTGCTGTGAGCTAGGTTGACGCCACGGCACTCACTCTAGCCTGGGCAACAGAGTGAGACTCTGTCTCAAAAACAAACAAACAAAAAAAAACACTAGCATTTCTTCCTGAGGATTTTTATGTGGCTCACATTTTTCATTCTAAATTGACTCTAAAAAGGTATGAGCAGCAGCGGGACAATCTCGCCCAGCAGTCTTTCAACATGGAACAAGCCAATTATACCATCCAGTCATTGAAGGACACCAAGACCACGGTACTCCCAAAGCACCTTTTCCTATCATTTTATTTTTTTACTTTTATGTTGTTTTCCCATGGTTTTTAAAGGACAGCTTAACCAACATGGCTTCTTAAAGATATTTTGTTTTCTTCTACCTTTTTTTAGGTTGATGCTATGAAACTAGGAGTAAAAGAAATGAAAAAGGCATACAAGCAAGTGAAAATCGACCAGATAGAGGTGAGATATATGCCAATTTCTGCAAGAACGTGCACTGGTTTTTGAAGGAAACCAAATGAATGTGTGTGTGGCGGGAAGAGCACAGAAGAGGGATTGAGTCTCAGGCCTGCCATTTACTAGTAGAATAACTTTGGGAGGGTATCCAAGGTCTCAGTATCCTTATTGTTGATGCAAGGATCCTAATACCACAAACAGGTACAGATGATCTCCAACTTATGATGGTTCAACTTGGGATTTTTCAACTTTACAATGAGGTAAAAGCAATGTGCATTTAGTAGAAATCATACTTCAAGTACCTGTACCATTCTGTTTTTCACTTTCAGTATAGTATTCAATAAATTGCATGAGATACCCAACATTTTATTATAAAATAGGCTTTGTAATGTAAGTGTTCTGAGCATGTTTTAGGTAGGGTAGGCTAAGCTATCATGTTCGGTAGGTTGGTTAGGTATATTAAATGCATTTTCTACTTGTGATATTTTCAACTTATGATGGGTTTATTGGGATATAACTCCATCATAAATAAAGGAGCATCTGTATTATGAGGATGAAATAAATGAGCTAGTGTATCTAACACACAATGCATCCAGTAGTTATTTCTAACTCACCTAATGAGTTTTAGTGTTTCCTCAGTTGTAAAATAGTGATGTTGCTGCCTATCTCCTAGGATAGTCACAAGTATTAAATGAGAATATGTATGTAAAGTGCTTATCACAATTCCTGGCATCCCTTTTCTAGTAATTCTCTTTAGATTTTTAATAATGTCAGTAGCTCCTTAAAATTAGCCTTTCTTCTTTGGATTAGGTCTTGGCCAGGGAGGTGAGCCTTAAGAGCTTGGGTGCTCTCAACTGTAAGGTGAATAGCTCAGGTGGCAAGCAGAGATAACAGATGGAGTGAGTGGTGACTGATCAGAGGAAAGAGCCTTCCTTTCTGCATATATAATGGTGCTTTTTACCCCCTGACTACAATGTCTGTTTCCTGGAGGGCAGGGACTTGATTTTGTAAACTGTTGTATTCCCAGTGCCCAGAACAATGCCTGGTCATAGTTGGCACTCAGAAAGTATTTGATGGTTGATGAATGAGAGGGTGTTAAAGGAGATAAAGCATTACTGTCCAATTCAAGCAGTTTTTGTTGGGTGAGCAATTACTTTATACCAGGCATTTTAGTGCCTCTGCAATGGCATTCTCTGGCAGTGCTGATCTTTAGTAAGAGTGAAGTTATGCCTGCCCTCTTACTTTTTTCAAACGCCTCTCCTTAGACTGTCCTTGGCCATCTCTAATCCTCTACAAGTGTCTGCTTACATGGAGTTAAGCTTCATGATATCTTCCAGGAGATTCACTGAGAAAAATGTTCTGTGTATGCTTGTCTTTTTTGTGTAATATTATTTGGCAATAAAATGAAATGCCATTTTGTTTTCTGTTTTTAGGGTACCTTGTGTTTTAATTAGAGCTTTTTAATATGAACAAAAGAGAAGCTGGTCTTTGTGAGTTTTGTGTGTCTCTCCATCTTTCACCTGTGGTTGTCTGTCTGTCTCTCTGTCTGATTATGCTTTTCCTGTCCTCCAGTAGATTGCCCCCATGACAGGTAGAGAGCCTCTTTAACTCTTGGGGTGTATATGTGTTTTTTTGGTTGGTCTATATATTTTGAATTTTGGTTAGATTTATTTTCCTAAAATACTTCTAAACACTTTCATTGTTTTATAGCTCTCCTTTTTTATTTTACCTTTGTATATGGGTGTGTGTATAGTTGTTTTTATTGTTTTTGCTTTTCAGTTTCTGCCTGTCAGTGCATCAGCGTTCTTTTTAACTTAGTGCTTGTATTTGTTTATATTGCTTTTGTTTGTTTATACAATATTAAACCAACTAATTCTTTGTGTGATGAGGTGTTTTTCTGTGTCTATTCTAGAGTCTATTGCTAGGAATACTACTCATAGATGATTTTGGGAGGCTTGTCTTGATGTGTACAGTATAAGTTTGATGGGATCTGCTCACTCTGTGTTATCTTCTCTCTGCTCATTTCTAAGATTCAAAGGAGAATGTGGAGGAAGAGGGTAGTTAGAGGAGGCTGGTAAAAAAAATCAATGAAAACCTTGTCATATATATTTCTGTAGGATTTACAAGACCAGCTAGAGGATATGATGGAAGATGCAAATGAAATCCAAGAAGCACTGAGTCGCAGTTATGGCACCCCAGAATTAGATGAAGATGACCTAGAAGCAGGTAAATTATGAGAAAAGGAACATATATTTAGTTTTAGAGTCTGAAAGGAACAACTGCCTGGGACCTTTTCCCAAATGCTAGTAAAAACTCCTATCTGGATTCCCTGAAAATTAGTTTGGGGTACAGTCTCTGGGCAGAGTGCTTGTGAGGCAGCTACATCAGAATTGCATACTCTGCCAACAATAGTAGGATGGATAAACTCTGAAGGAAGGTCCAGGCAAAGGCTAACTTGGTACTTGTATCAACACAGCCTTTTCCTGCTATTTTCCTTTTGATTTTGTTCTCCTATTTTCCTACTTGGAGTCCTCTCCCACAGAATAGCAAAGCAAATTAAGAAATAGTAGTTAGCAGCTGGGTGTGGTGGCTTACCCCTGTAATCCTAGCACTCTGGGAGGCCTAGGCCGGGTGGATTGCTCAAGGTCAGGAGTTCCAGACCAGCCTGAGCAAGAGCGAGACCCCACCTCTACTATAAATAGAAAGAAATTAATTGGCCAACTCATATATATAGAAAAAATTAGCTGGGCATGGTAGTGCGTGCCCGTAGTCCCAGCTACTCGGGAGGCTAAGGCAGAAGGATTGCTTGAGTGCAGGAGTTTGAGGTTGCTGTGAGCTAGTCTGATGCCATGGCACTCTAGTCTGGACAACAGAGTGAGACTCTGTCTCAAAAAAAAAAAAAGAAAAGAAACAGTAGTTAGCAAGTACTTAGTGTGCATCTACTATACACCAGGCACTCTACTGGGTGCTGGGGATTCAACACTGAAGAAAACAAATATGATCCCTGCATTCATGAAGCTTCTCCCCTAGCAGTGGGACACATATAAACTGCTTGCTTTAAGTAATTAATTACTAGAGCACAAACTATAGGGAAGAAGTGTGTGGTACTATGGGAGCACATAGCAGGAGAATGTAGTGGGGGACAGGTATGGGACCTGAAGGATAAGCAGGAGTTAGCATGAAAAAATGGTAAGGGTTGTTGAGTGTCTTCAGGGAGAGGAGTCTAAAAGCTATTGCTGGGCTGGCGAGGTGGCTCACGCCTATAATCCTAGCACTCTGGGAGGCCGAGGTGGGAGGATCACTCAAGGTCAAGAGTTCGAAACCAGCTTGAGTAAGAGTGAGACCCCATCTCTACTAAAAATAGAAAGAAATTAATTGGCTAACTAAAAACATATAGAAAAGAATTAGCCGGGCATGGTGGCGCATGTCTGTAGTCCCAGCTACTTGGGAGGCTGAGGCTGTTGGATTGCTTGAGCCGAGGAGTTTGAGGTTGCTGTGAGCCAGGCTGATGCCACAGCACTCTAGCCCAGACAACAGAGTGAGACTCTGTCTCAAAAAATAAAATAAAAGCTATTACTGTATTGCTGTAGTCATGTAAGAGGATAGCAGATGAGACTAGGGTGGTGGTAGCAGAAACAGAGAGAAGTAGACAGATTGAAGAAATTTTAAGAGGTTGAATGGATAGCACTTAATGATTGGATGTGGAGAAAGTGGGAGGTGTCAAGGATGGCTGTCAGTTTCTAGCCTGTATAACTGGGTAGATGGCAGAACCACCCCATTCTGGAATTCTAGCACATGATTCCTCTGTCAGGTTACTGCTGCTTCTTTCTCTCCATGGTCTGTTTTTGCCTAGAACCTTTTATTTTTTTTTCCCATTCATTTCTTCATTATTTTATTTCCCATCTTGAGTTTCCCCTGATGAGTCTCTACCCACTATTATCATTCCTCTTGGCTGCTTCCAACTCTCTTTACCATAGACTTATTTTTAGAGTCTAATTTCACATAATAGTCACACAATGTACAACAATCTCATGCCTTCTTTCACTGCCTTCTTTCAAGTCCATCAATAAATATGAGAGAATTTTTTACATTTGTTACTGTGGAAATTTTCTAGTTTTGAATTGGCCAACTGATAACCCTAGAGTCTTCTTAGGAATACTGGGGTCTTGTAACCTGTGAGGAAACAATTGTTTCATTTTACTTTTATTTTAGCTTTTTGTATTTCATAGATTTTATCATATTTCCTTGAATATTTTTCTTTTTTCTTTTTAATTTTTAAATTTTTTTAGAGACAGGGTCTTGTTCTGTCACCCAGGCTGGAACTCCTGGACTCAAGCAATCCTCCTTTCTCAGCCTTCCAAGTAGCTAGGACTACAGGCATGTGACACCACACCCAAATAATTTTTAAATTATTTTGTAGAGATGGGGGTGCTGCAGGGGGTGCTTGCTATGTCACCTGGGCTGGTCTTAAACTCCAGGCCTGAAGTGATCCTCCAACCTCAGCCTCCCAAAACACTAAATTATAGGCATGAGCCAGCATACTTGACCCTCCTTGAAAATTTCTTATAGTGGTCATCTTTTATTTTGAAAATAGAAATTAATAATCCCTTTCCCTTTGTATTTAAATGTTTATCTTGTTACCAATAATTTGGCTAACTTTCTTAATATTAGCTGCCAATTTTCTTGCTTACATTTTTTTGAAATGTTAACATTTCAATCTCAGAGTTGGATGCATTGGGTGATGAGCTCCTGGCTGATGAAGATAGTTCCTACTTGGATGAAGCAGCATCTGCACCTGCAATTCCAGAAGGTGTTCCCACTGACACAAAAAACAAGGTGAAAGCTTTTTATGTTTATATATCTATGCAAAATGGTAAAGGTTTTATGCTTGGCCATCAGTCTGGGAATCTAAAAGGTAGCCTTAAGTTAGAACAAGGAGAGACAGTCCTGGTCATTCCTTTGGGAACTCTTGAAATCTCAGTTTTCCTGCATTGGATGATGAACTGGCCACATCAAATACCGTCACTGAGGCTCAGGAATGTTTTTATACAATAACAATTTGTATAATATGCATAATCACCCTTGTTGTGAGCTAGCACTGGGTGCCACTGACAGGGTTTAGACATTTCCTGGGAAAGCACCAGCAACACACGTGCATGAGACTTACTAGGCAGCAATGTAAAAGAAAGTCTCACTCTCCAGGCACACTAATTATTGGGTGGATTTTTTTTTTTTACCTAGGGATTACTAATTTAAGTATAAAACTTAACATAGAAAGATTCTAATTCGAGAAGGTAAAAGAATCAGGACACAATAGCCAAAATTTGGAGTCAAACTAAGTGCCCATTAATGGATGAACAAATAACAGAAATGTATATATATACAATGGAATATTATTCTGCCATATAAAGAGTGAAATCCTGGCATTTGCAGCAACATAGATGCAACTGGAGGTCGTTAAGCCAGACACAGAAAGGCAAATATTGCATGTTCTCACTCATTTGTGGGAGCTAAAAAAGTGGATGTCGAGGATGTCAAGTAGATTGTCATTAACCAGAGGCCAGGAAGGGAAGCGGGGAGGGGGAAAATGAAGTTAGGGGAAAGGATGTAAATGTATTTATACCACTGAACTGTACACTTAAAAATGGTACAGATGGTAATAAAACACAGCAAAACAAAAAAAGTATCAGGACATTTGGCCCTATGACAAACCTTTAGCTGTTTTGAGCTTTTCTATTCATTGCATATGTAAAATGCAGATAATTACAAGTATCTCACCTAATTGTTATGTCAAGCAAATTAGATCTCGTATGTAAAAGACTTTGCAAACTTAAAGCTCTGTCTAAATCTATGTGGTTGTCATTATTACAGATTATTTTACTGCTTATAAAATCTCAGTCATTCCATCTTAGTTCCTGGCATAATATGTCATTTTTTTCTATTGCCACTAGACATTGATAGTTTGCCTTTTCTCCCAACATATACATTGAGTGTGTACAATATAGTAAACAGAATATTTGAGTGGAAGCCAGTTCCAGCCCTGCCTTTATTCTCTGTGTGACTTTGAGCAAAGTAGAAATTCATGTCTTCTTTCTGAACCTCGTAAGTTTTTCCAGCCTGTAAAATGTAGAGAGCAAAGGGCAGGAAGCAGGTAATTTCTCAGGTCCCTTATAGCTGAGGTCTGTGAATGTGCATCTTCTTCTATTGTACCCATCCCTTCTCCCTTGAGCCTGGATAGTCTTACCTTTCTTTACTGCCCACCACATTCCATCCCTACCTCTCTGGCCACTTCAAGGTTCCAGGTGCATAAGTTGCTTTTTCTCAGCACATCTGAAATAATTTTTATTAGCACTACCATAGCCCATCTTTTCAGTTCTCTGGTAACAAGTCCCTGAAGCATCTAGGTTATTTTTAGAAAGTCACAGATTCCTGAGTTAAATGTGCTGAAGAGATAAGGTTTTTCAATTGATAGTGGTATCACTGCCTATGATTTTTAGTAAAGCATGATATGGAATTGACTGCCTGTCCAAGGGCCCTGTTCGTTCAAGGACTTGGGAGGCAAAAAAAAAAGGTATTGGTCCACATTAGGGATCAGAGTGAAAGTGAGAATCTAGAGGCAAGGCCTCACTCCTTAGTCTTTCTTCCTTGACACTCTCAGCCACCTTTTCCCCTTTCTAGGTTTACTCCTACATTTCTTTCTCCTTCTTTCACTCTTCCCTTCCCTTCCAAAGGGCCAGAGCCCTTTTGATCCTTTCTAGTTCTTTCTCTGGTTCATCATCTCCTCCTTCACCTTTCATGAAAAAGCTCATTTTCATATTATGAATGGGATTTTAGTTTCGATTGATTAAATACTTGGAAATGAGTTTTAACTACTAAATGTTTGTAGTCATTTTTTATCAAGTGAAAAATAGTGGTACTAAACATTGCTTCCTTTTCACAGGATGGAGTTCTGGTGGATGAATTTGGATTGCCACAGATCCCTGCTTCATAGACTTGCATCATTCAAGTACATCGTGTAAAACAAACATACTTGATGGGACTGGGAAATATTTTATCTTTCCAAATTTGCCATAACAGATTTAGGTTTCTTTCTTTTCTTTGAAGGAAAGGTTAATTACATTGCTCTCCCCCCCCCCCATTAGGAGACTCATCACTTGGGAGATGCTTTCTTTGTACTAAACTTTGATTCCTTTTTTTCTTACAAAAGATTAATTACTTAAAAGTATCTTGGGCTTTGTATGACTTATTTTCATTCATTAATAATCACTTGAAATAAAACCAAGGAAATGGGAATCTTTAAAATCTATGATAGTGTAATGCTACAGTATCAAAATGACCTGATAAATTCATAGGAGGAAAACGAAATTATTGGGCTGTTCATACTCTGATTCAAAACCATTTTCTATTGTGGTATTATAGGTCGGTTAAAGTGGTAGCCTTTTTCTGATGAGTTTTGTTGTGTCTTGTGAGTAAATCATTACTGTGTCCAAATTGGAATGGAATTATCACTGCTGTATCATGAGTAGATATTTTGATTCTATGGTTCCCTCAGTATTACAGCCTGACTTGTAATCAATAATGAATATTTCTTGATATTTAATGTATAGGACATTTATTTATACTCAATAAATATTTTTCAAAAGGATATCATTTCAATAATAATCACTCCAGTGTAAGACTTCTACTACAGAAACCAAATTAACCAGTAGCCTAGAGAAAAGAGCAGGAACAATCTAATCTGGGCTTGGGCCCTGGATCTACCATCTAAACACTGACTGGTCTGCTCAACTTCTCTAAACTTCTGTTTCCTTATTAGTAAAATTGTGCTTAACTCACAAAGCTATTTGTGAGGAATAATTGAGGTAATGGTCATAAGTACTTTGTTAACTGCAATGTGCTGTTCCCATTAAGGGTTATAAATAATAAAAAAGCAGGGCTTCATTCTTTTCTTGGTAGCTGCCTGGAATGCTACAGCAAGTTCAAACTCCTGCCTGATTTCAGGGTGTTTAATGATCCTGTCCTCCTATCTTCAACCTCTTGCCAACAGTGTTTCCCCTCCGGCCTGGCTGGGTGCCTCACAGTGTGGTGTGCACCAGACTTTCATTTGTCTGCAGATCCCACCAATAAACATTTATGAACACCAGCTTTGTAGAAGTCTCTCTATCAGCCCAGAGGATATGAAGAGCGATGACAGTTCCTCTCTTTAAGAGTTCACTGTTTAATTATAGGTGAGGATGAGACACGTATCTAACCCTCTTTCATCCACACTAACTTCACCCTCTCAAGAAACCTTCCAGTGGGAACAAACATTTCAATATTCATCATTGCCTTCTTGAAACCGTTCTGGGCTTCTCTGAGTTCTCCTGACTTTTATTCTAATCTGGCCACTTATTCTCTTCCATGGACCCCTCTTTTTCACTCAGCCCTTTAAATATTTCTTCCATTATAGTTTCAATCTATACTCTGTTTGAGAAATCTCACCTATAATTTCAACTATTACCTGTGCACTAATGACTCAAAATAACTGTCACTAGCATAGACCTCTTATCCATATTTTAAATTCTGAGCATTGTCATTTAAATGCTGTCACCTAAAATTTAACATATCCAAATTAAGCTCATTATTTTGGTGTTCACTCTCAGCAAACATTTCTCTTTGATTTCTTATCTTGCTAATGTTGTCAGTGATGCATATATTGCCAGTTTTCATGGGTGATATTTAGCCCTCAAGCTAGACTGCATTAACACATTGGATACCAGTAAGCAATCATTCTACCTAAATCTCTACTCTCTTCACTTTTGAGATAATATTCTTTGGTTCTCCTGTTCCTCTGACTATTGCTTCCGAGACTTCTTTCCAAAATCCTTGTCTCCAACCCTGTAATGTTAGTGTTCTTCAGGATTCTGGTTTTTAATCCATACTTCTCTGCTCACTTATATTTAGTGATCTCAACTATTCTTATGGCTTTGACTGCTGACTTCCAAATCTATACTTCTATCTTTGATCTTGCCCCCTGAGTTTCAAATTACTATTTTTATCTAGCTGTTTGCCTAACAATTATTTCAATGTTCCAGAAGCTGACAAGCACCTCACATTCAAGTGGCCAAGACAACCTATCACCTTTCCCCGGACCTGAATCTCTTCCTGTTTTCCCTGTCACAGCTCATGGGACCATTATCCTCTCATCTTTCAGAACAGCAAGCTCTTGGGTTGTCCTTGATGCCTACATTTTGCCTCACCCTACACAATTATTGTTAAACGCTGCTTTTAACCCCTAAGGGTTTCTCAAATCCAACTCTTCCTCTCCTTCCTCTATCAACTCTCCTTGGCCTAGACATCTCTCACATAATCTTTTAGGATAAATGACTTGCTTCTCTTGCATAGTTTCACTTCCTTTAGTCTGTTCATCACATACAGCTATACTTTCTAAAATACAAATCAGATTTAAATTCTTTAATGATGCCCAAATATCTCCAGCAGGGCTTAAAAGCTGCCTATGACCTGGCCTCTGCCTATCTGTAATGGTTCATTGCTTAGTCTTTTCAGAACAGCATTCTCTTTCTTTTAGGAAACTACCTCCCCCATTCCAACTAGATTATTATTGGGGAAGTGCCAATTTTAGAGTAGCACTATCCTTACTCTTCCAAGCTATAGGAGTGTCCATGTGACTAGGCTGTGCCTATCAGAGGCCATGCTTTTTAAAAAAAAAAAAAAAAACTGAAAGCATAAGAAGCTTTTGAGTGAGGCCAGAGAGGAGCCAAGATGAGAGGCAGAATGAAAGAATCATCATGGCACTCAGCTCTGAATTCTGATCCTTAAAATTTCCAGAGTGTTCCAGATCACCCTTCCTTTGATTCTATGGGCTGAGGATTCTGCCAGTAAATCCCCTTTTCTGCTTAAACTAGTTGGAGTTGGGTTTCTGTCACTTGCCTGAATAGGCTGGATGTAGTGGCTCATGTCTATAATCCTAACACTTTGGGAGGCCAAGGCAGGAGAATGGGTTGAGGTCGGGAGTTCAAGACCAGCCTAGGCAACATAGTGAGACTTTGTCTCTACAAAAAAATTTTTAAAAACTTGGCCAGATGTGGTGGTATACACTTATAGCTGTGTCTACTTAGGAAACTAAGATGGGAGGATCACTTGAGCCCAGGAGTTCAAGGCTACAGTGAGCTATGATCATGCCACAGCACTCCAGCCTGGGCAACAAAGTAAGACCCTATCTCTTAAAAAAAAAAAAAAAAAGAATCCTGCATAATTCCTCAGCATCTTCATGACATGTCCCACTTTTCAATTTTATGCTCTAATAATTGCTCTGTTTCTAGTTCCCCCATATTTACCATACAGTCCTGATTCCTTGCCTCTGCTCATACAGTTTTCTCTACCTGACATTTTCTTAATTCCTTTGTCACTCTAATTCTTCCTGTATTGAGTAAGAGCCAAAGGGCATGCCATAGTCTGTGTTAATGTCAGTGAATTTAAGGAAAGTGGAGTGGTTAAGTCCTGTAGTAAAGTACCCCAGGCACCACAGAGCTGCTGATCATCACTCCTATAGCTACCACCAGACAACCTCGCTGGTCAGTATTTCATTTGTTAACCATTGAGTACAGATGGTCTTAGGTTTTAATTTATCAGTCCTGAGAGTTTGGCAGGGGTGGAGAAAGATTTGGAATGATCCAATAGAGAGTATAAGTTTGGCACTATCACCTAGAGAGTTTTTTTTTTTTTTTTTTGAGACAGAGTCTCGCTTTGTTGCACAGGCTAGAGTGAGTGCCGTGGCGTCAGCCTAGCTCACAGCAACCTCAAACTCCTGGGCTCGAGTGATCCTTCTGCCTCAGCCTCCCGCGTAGCTGGGACTACAGGCATGCGCCACCATGCCCGGCTAATTTTTTATATATATATCAGTTGGCCAATTAATTTCTTTCTATTTATAGTAGAGACGGGGTCTCGCTCTTGCTCATGCTGGTTTTGAACTCCTGACCTTGAGCAATCCGCCCGCCTCGGCCTCCCAAGAGCTAGGATTACAGGCGTGAGCCACAGCGCCCGGCCACCTAGAGAGTTTTTAAAAAAATATTGTTGCCTGGGTTCTACCCCAGAGATTCTGATATAATAGATGTAGATACAATGTGGACATTTGGGTTTTTTAAAGCTCCCCAGGTAGTTCTTAGGTGTATAGCAAAGGTTAAGAACTGCTGCTCTAGGGTGTCTCTGATCAATCTGAACCTGTTTTCATGGATAGGTACTCTGGGTTGTTACCATCAATTTCTGCAGTGAAGGGGCAGGCAGTGAGTAATTGCCCTGAAGTAAAGATTCTTATCTGTGGAATGAGTTGGGAAGTACTCCCCCCTCTATTCTTTGGAAGAGTTTGTGAAAGATTGGTGTTCATTCTTTGAACATTTGGTAGAATTCACCAGTCAAGCCATCTGGGCCTAGGCTTTTTATGGAAAGGTTTTTGATTACTAATTGAATCTCTACTTGTTATAGGTCTATTCAGATTTTCTATTCTTGAGTCAGTTTTGGAAGTTTGTGTCTTCTAGGAATTTGTCCACTGCATCTAAGTAATCTTATTTGTTGGCATACAGTTAGTTGTTCATAGGTCATACTGACCTTTTTATTTGGTCAGTAGTAATGCCTCCTCCTTCATCCCCAATTTTAGTCATTTGAGTCTTCTCTCTTTTTTTGGTGGTAATTCTATCAAAAAGTTTGTTAATTTTGTTGCTTTTGTTCAGTAACCTCTGTTTTGTTGGTTTTTCTCTATTTTTTTTGGTTTCTAGTCCATTAATTTCTGGTCTACCTTTTGTTATTTCTTCTATGTGCTTTGGTTTAGTTTGCTCTTTTTGTAGTTTTTTTAAATTGGAAGGTTTTTTAAAGTGGAAGTTTTTTTTTTAAGTGGAATTAATTTGATATTTTCTTCTTTTTTATTAATAAAGGTTTTTTTTCTAGTTTTAAGTTAACAGCAAAATTGAGTGGAAAGTACAGACTTATCATGTCATGCACAACCTCCCCCACTATCAACTTCCTACACCATAGTGGTGCATTTGTTACAATGAACCTACATTGACATATCATTATCACTCAAAATCCATAGTTTACATTAGGGGTCACTCTTGATATTGTACATCCTACGGGTTTTAACAAATGTATAATGACATGTATCCACCATTGTAGTATCATAAAGAATAGTTTCACTGCCCTAAAAATCCTCTGTGCTGTCTGTTCATCTCTTTTTCCTCCCTAACTTCTGTCAACCCCTAATCTCTTTTACTGTTTCCATAGTTTTCCAGAACATCATATAGTTGGAATCATATAGTTTATAGCCTTTTCAGATTGCCTGCTTTAACATAGCGATATGCATTTGAGTTTTCTCCACGTCTTTTCATTGCTTGATAGCTCATTTGTTTTGGGGTTTTTGTGTGTGTGTTTTTAGGGATGGGGTCTCACTATGTTACCCAGGCTGGACTCAAACTCCTGGACTCAAATAATCTTCCTGCCTCAGCCTCCCATAGCTGGGACTATTGGTGTGCCCAACTGCACTAGCTTCATTTATTTTTATTGATGAATAATATTTCATGACCTGGACTTCTTTTTTAATAAGTATTTATAGCTATAAATTTGAACACTGCTTTCACTACTTGCCATAGGTTTTCATATGTTCTATGAAGGTACTGTTTGTATAGGAAAGGGAAGATAAATGCTTGCTTGCTTCCATTTATTTATAAGTTTTTAAAATAATGAGTAGGTTCTCTAATGTGCCAGTTGTGAGTTTGCTTTTCAGTTCTAAATTTATCCTTTTCGCCTGCTCTGTGAAATGGATTTGGGCCCTTTAAATATTTATCCTTTGCCCACTGGCAAGTATTAAGCTTTGTCAGTAGAGGGCACTAGAAAGCTGTTGCCAGAGGAAAGGTTTCTTCTTGTTTCTGATGTTTCTGTGGGGCTGGCCTCTGTGGTGCCAGCCTCTGTGGTGCCTGCAGTGCATGTGGCTCCTTCACTGCCTGGCTATTGCAGTAGATAGTGGCCAGTAGCCAGAAATTTCTGGTACTCCCACAGGTGGTTTGTTGTAGGGTGCCTCTGGTGAGACACCTCCCCATGAATGGCTTTCACCAGCACTCCAGAAGAATATCTGGCAACTTCCTTGCCACCTAGGCATCCTCTAACAAAGTCTGCACCTCAGCTTGGTCTGGGCTCTTCCTTGGACACTCTTATCTCAGCCCTACAGGTAGTGGCTGCTCCTTTTATGTACTAATCCTGTATTCTTTTAGAGTTCTTTTTATGTCTTTACTAGCCAATCCCTTATTACTCCAGTCCCCTGTTATAGTTAATAAGTCTTTAAATAAAACTTTCCCTGTTCAAAAAGTGTGGTTCCTGTTCAACAAATGGGGTTCTTCTCTCCTGATAGGACCCAGACTGATACAACTGGTAATTTCTAAAAATGACAATAAAATTTGTTTGGTAAGCTGACCTGTCAAAATTAAGGATTTATGTTCAACAACAAATTAATAGACTTAATGGAAGAGGACAATTTAAATGTCTGAAACTGACAAGGGATTGATATCTACAATATACAAAAAAAAAAACATCAGTAAGAAAAATAGAGCAGCCCCAAGAGAAAAATGGGCAATGAATATGGATAAGCAATTTTTTTTTTCTTTTCTTTCTTTTTTATTTTAAGAGACGGGGTCTTGTTCCATTGCCCAGGCTGGAGTGCAGTGGCATGATCATAGCTCACTGCAGCAGCATCCACCTGCCTCAGCCTCTTGAGTAGCTAGGACTACAGGCATACGCTACCACATTCATCTAATGGATAAGCAATTTAAAAAGAGGAAACCCAAAAGGCCATCAAGAAATGTTCAAACTCGTTAGTAATCAGAGAAAAGCAAATTAAAACAAGATAGCATACTTGTTGGTTTAGAAAAAGTTTGAAAGCTGGAAAATGGTTATATCTCAATTATACCTTAGGTCTATCCCCTTTTCTCCATCACATTTTATATCATTTTAGTCCAAGGCTACCACCATCTTCTGCATTAGCATAATACAAAAATATAACTGGTCTGTCCACTCCTAATCATTCTTCCCAGGGGAGCAAGAGAAATCTTTTAAATGTACATCAGATACCACTTCTGTGCTTAGAACTTTTCAAGAACCTCCCATTGTTCTTGGCATAAAATCCACTATCGAGGTATGATATTCTCCCTACCTGCCTCTCCAGTTTCCCCAGGCACTGACTAAAGAAGTTTCAATACCTTGAACACGTGAAGCTCTTTCCTGCCTCATGGCTTTTGCATATGCTATTCCCTCTGCCTAAACCTTCATTCACATGGCTTGCTTCATTTTTAACAAAGTGCAGCCACCTTTTCTGAAGCAGATTCTGATAGTCTCTGTCACTGTTACCCTGCTTATTTTATAACACTAACATATTTTGTAACTGTTTTGTTTGTATACCTAGTTTTCATCTCCCCTGTTAGATAATGCACTTCATGAGGAAGGGACCATGTCTGTCTATTTCACCATTTACCTCAAGCACTTAAAGCAATGCCCAAGACAGAATATACATTAAAACATATGTGAATGAATGAATCTATTTTGTATTCTTAGGGAAGCCTGGATCAGTGAATTACTTTACAAATGCAAATGTCATGGTATAGTTCAGGCAGACCTATGTTCTACAGAATTAGATAATTTTCTTAAATTTGCTCTTTAAACTGTCCTATAACTAACTGAAAGTTATCATTTATTCCTCAGGAATTGTGTTTTACTATGAGTATTTTCTCAAAGAAATGACAAACTGAATGACAAGGGCCATACATAAGCCTGATCTGAGAGATTTATTTCTCAGTGTAAGAGAAACTGTATGAAAGAATTGGGCAGAGCTTGGTGCAATACTTCCTGAACTTTTAGTTCCTCACTGTGTTACTGGTTAAGATTAAATAAGTGAGACTCTGGGAAATATCCTGCCAGTTATTGTGATTGCTTTGTTTAGGCCATAGAGGCTACACTTGGAGGACTGAACATATGAATTCTCCCTGAAGGAAATGAATGTTCCCACTGTCAGTCACTTAAGGAAATCCTTGGCTGGATGGGGAGGTAGGGAAAGAGTTTTTTAGTCTCTGGGTTCATAGTAGAGAGTTGGTAAGAAAATTCCGGAGGTTTCCATTGATGAGAATTAAGCCAGTGCTCTGCCACATGTAGGATTTCTGAGTCTAGGCAGAGACTAGGATTGGTTAATTTTAATGTCAATTGTAAACTGCTGTCAGCATTGGCCTTTGTAATCCTCAAGCCTTCATTAAAATTTTGTTAAATGTTACACCTTGGTCTTGGCTGTACTTTGGGGAATTAAGGGATGTTCCTGAATCTGTTCTAGACCCAAGTAGTATGAAGCATTTTGCATTCCAGGGAAACTAGCTAAGAGTCTGTAAGAGTTGTCCCACAAAATTCCACAGCAACAGCAGTGGTGTTAAGCACAAGACCTGGCTTTGGGAACAAGCAAGCTCTTGGTCAATTTTTCAAACATAATAAAGTATTCCTAAAGAATTTCCAGAGATGTTTGGTAAGGGTCAGGTTAAGATACTCAGTAGAATGGACTTCCTGTAAAGGAAGTGCTATCCCTAAGATTAAAGGTGCCAGAGATATCTTGGCTATGAAAATGACAAGCAAAACCAAAATAAAACAAAAATTGAACTAAAACCTTATTTTTAAATTCTGCATTTCTTTAGTATTAGTGAGGCTTTTTCATAATTATTGCCCATTTATCTTCCCATTAATTGCCTTTACAAGTCCTTTATCCAACCTAATTGGTAAAACAACAACAAAACAATTCCACACATTCATTTTAATAGTTTTTTTTCTTTCTTTTTTTGAGTCAGAGTCTCAAAACTCCTGGGCTCAAGTGTTCCTCCTGCCTCAGCCTCCCGAGTAGCTGGAACTACAGGCATGCACCACCATGCCCAGCTAATTTTTTCTATATTTTGAGTTAGCCAATTAATTTCTTTCTATTTTAGCAGAGACTGGGTCTCACTCTTGCTCAGGCTGGTTTCGAACTGACCTTGAGGGATCCACCAGCCTCAGCCTCCCAGAGTGCTAGGATTACAGGCGTGAGCCACTGCGCCAGGCCTCATTGCAAATTTTTTTTTTTTTATTTCGGCATATTATGGGGGTACAGATTTTAAGGTTTCAATAAATGCCCATTTCCCCCCCTCATTGTAAATTCTGTACCTTAAAAATTGTGACTCCAAACTTTCCCCTCATGTTTAGTGTCCATCTGTATTTGTTTTGCCGTCATTTCTTAAATGTAATTTTATCATTTTCTATTAAATAACTGATTTATAAGAGCTCTTTTGTGTATTAGCCTTTTATTGTTTTACAGACTTCTTTCCCCAGAATGCCTTAGTGTTTTTTGTTTGTTTTTAGTCTGGAATTGTGATATCCATGTTTTGCTCTGTTTTAAAACCCCAAGCCTAAACTACTCTAAGAATAAGGTGACGTCTGAGCTGTTTCCTGAAGACCACTTGAAGCTGTGTGGATGGCAGGACAAAAGGGTGTGGGGGCCAAGACCCTTGACACCTCACCTTCCCGCGCCCCCGCGGTTCGCTGAAAAAACCTCACACGAGGTTGATTAACAGTTTAAAAAGCATACAAATTTATTTAATGTGTATACACAGGAGCCTTCAAAATAAATACCCAAGCCCCACTGGGATACAGAAACTTATATAGCATTTTGAGGTCACAGAAGTAGCAGCTCTCAAAGATGTCTCTTTTCTGATCTTTAAAGGTCAGCCTTTTAATCTTTCCGGGATGGGACAAGGTAAGGCCTGGTTGCAAGAAGGGCATGGTAGCATAAGAGCGCAGCGAATCTCAAAAAGAAAAACACAATGATTACGCAAATTCCACTCCTCTCTCCTGCAACTCTCGCCACCTCCAGCTACTTGCCCCCTCCTTCTGCTCGAAGCCTGGCGCATCTGTCTGACGTCATGGACGCGCCGCGTGTATATTCTGGCCGCGCAACATCCTTGGCGGTCTATCCGCTCGCAGATGTGAACATTCTCGTGGCGCCGGAAGTCCGGGACACGTGACCGGGTGACAGAGCTTGCTTGGCTGCGAGGCTTGCTTTAGGCTGCAGCACGGGATGGCGGAGGCGCCTCCTGTCTCAGGTAATGTCCCGGCCCGTGCGGCACTGGGCCTCCTCTCAGGGAGCGGAAATTGGGTCAGTGACGAAGTCTTAGGGCTCCGGCCATTCATATCGCGAGAATGGCACATGCTACGGTTGGGGATAGTGGCTCGGAAGGACCAAGCACGATCTCTGTTACCGGGTGGTGAAGCCCGGCAGCTAGGTTTCAGAGGAGAGTGGTCTTGTCCCGTCGCCGAGCGAGTCCATATGGGATATGGATGTCCTGCTCGCCCACAGGGCTCTTCCTGGGGCAGCAGTGCACTGACCTTCCACAGGCGGGCGTCGGCCGAGTCACCGCCCATGAGGGTGGCGGGCTCTGACGTGTAGCGGGTTTGCGCGCTGTTCTTAGGGTGTGTTCATACCTCCTGGGGTGGTGGCGCGGGCGCGAGCCAAACACCAATGGCTTAAAACCTCAGCCTGCCACAAACTCTGTGTGATGTCAGTTAGAAGTAAATAAGTTCATTGCTGTGAAGGCTCCCACCCTGTACTGTACCTGTTCCATAATTGTTAGCCTACTTCCCCACCCTGAGTTTCCTCTGTGTAGGGGCAGTCTTATTTGGCTCTTAATATAACATTCATTTCCGTTCCCTTCAGTGTGTTTCCCTTTGACCCAAGGGAAACATTCTGCATCACGACTTTAGTGCACACTTAGAAAAATATAAGTGTAAACCAAAAGTTTCAGGAGGCAGTGGTTTCCTTTACTATTGCAATATACTCTATTTTCTATGTCATTTTTTAAAATGCTTGTCACAACCCACTACATATGATCCACTCTTTCTGAAAAACAGGACAGCAGTTTGCAGCATGGGGTTTGGAAATTCATTGGTTTGAATCTTAAGTTTTGCTACCAACCAGCTGTTGGGCACCAAGAAGACTATATGTGTATTTGTGTACCGAGTGACAAGTAAAATGTATTTACTGCTGTAGTTCTCAGTTTAAAAAGTTAGAAACACACAACATTGGTGTACCCTAATCCTCATTTGAGTATTAATTAAGTCATCTTCAGGGATAGAAAACTTTTTGGGCTGGTGTATTGTTATTCTCCCCATTTAGTCCTTCACCAGATTCTCTAAACTGGATCCATTGATCTTCCCTTCCACTGGCTCCCTTCTGACCCATTTCTATATCCTTCAGTGTCTGAAGCAAAATTGGGTGGGGGCTGGTTGTGAGTCATAGTGTTGGTTTCTGGCATTGTGCCCCAGGTTGCTGCTTCCACCCCATAATGCATCTACTGAGGCAAAAATCACTAGTCCAAAGACCTCCCCCATTCCTTTTCATGTCCCTTCGTTTTTGCTTTAGTTCCTATTCTGTGTTCTTATTTTAGCGTCATCTCTAACTCACACCTCTCATCCCCAATCAAGGTCCTTAAACAGCAGCCCAATCCAGGGAATATCTTTCTGCCCATGGGCAGACACACCAAGCCAGGCTTTGTCTCTGGACTTTATAATCTACTAGTTGGATTTTCCCTGATGCTGTTCCGCCCACCTGCTGGATACCTACTAGGCTGCTGTGTTATCTTGGATCTAGGGTACCACTTACTTGTATTATAGTCATGTGTTGGTGACGAGATTTCCTATTCACTAAGTAACTTCCAGTTACTTAAATAGTGAAAGACAAGAGTGTCTCTAATCTTTGCTGTGGTCTGGTTTCCTGATTGGTGTATCCTTTTTCCCTTCCTCATGTCTCTTAAGGGTTGTTTTTCTGAGAGTTTTGTGTACTGCCTCATGTCTGGTGGAACATAAACTCCATTTGAATAGGTACAATCCTGTCTAGACTCTTGGTTGCATCAACTCATTACTGCTCCGCATGAAACACCCTTTTCCTTTCCTTTACCAGGCTACATTGGACATCCTCACTGACCTTATTTCTGCCCCTCCCTCCAGCCTTGCTTCTTCAAGCAAGAGAGAACTACACAGTACATCTTGGTCCAGTCTACCCATTTCCACCTTTAAGTTATCTTTTATGTTTCTGGTACACCTCTGCCACTTTCTGAATTTGTCTAATCCTCTTGCCGTTTTGTGAGACCCTCTACCCCATCCCCAAATTTCTGCCTATGTGAAAGCTTTCAGGACAAATCCTGGATTGAGTGAGCAGTTACCTAATGACCTTTATGATCTCATTCAGTTCTTTACTATATGTTTCTATGGTACCCACCTCTGTCAGTGTAACATGGTGTAAAAGCAAGGTCACTAATGCTGCACATCCTGAGTTGGAATCCTGAGTCTATTTTGCAATACCTCTGTAGCCTTCGACAAGTTACTAACTATGCCTAGGGTTTTCTTTCTTCTTGTTCTTCTTTTTTTTGTTTGTTTGAATGAAGATGGCAGTTTTGATATGTTGCCCAGGCTGGTCTCGAACTCCTCGCCTTAAACAGTCCTCCCATTTTATCTTTCCAAAGTGCTGGGATTATAGGTATCAGCCACCACCATGCCTGACCAGTGCCTCAGTTTTCTCATCAGGACTGTAAGAATTAAATGAATAATGCATATAAAGTCCTTAGAATAGTGCCTGGCACATATTAAATACCTAATACATGTTAGGCCTTATTATTAAACCTAAAACAGGCTCTACACTGCACCCATCTGTGTTCAAGCCTGTGTGTTTCAGGTAGTCTATAGTCCTAACAGCAATAATAAAGTACTGTTTTAATTACTTTTTGCTTGTTATTAACTTGCTTTACTCTTCATAGCAACTCTTTGATGTAGGGATTGTTACTATCTTCATTAAGTGTAAGAAAACAGGGGCTAAGTAACTTGCATAAAGTCATAGTAAGTGGTGGGCAGGGACTTAAACCCATGTCTTCTGGGCCCTGTCAATGCATATTCTATATGCTGCACATAGTTCTGACTTTCTTACTGATTTTGTGTCCTTAGATAAATCATTTCATTTTTGGGCTTCAAGGACTAAGTTGACTATACCAAGAAGCATCTTGGGAGGGGGGATGAGTGGGTTAAAGGGGAATATGTTTAATTTTTTTGACTTTGGGATTCTAGATCATGTTATGGAGTTTGTATTTAGAAAACCTGTAATATATTCCTAGGGGAAAGAGATGAAAAGTAATATAAATTTCCTAATAACCCTTTGAAATAAGTATTACTATCCTTTATCATGGATGGGGAAACTAAGGCTAAAAGTGGTCAAGTGATATCCCTAAGTTCATTCTGTAAGTTGGAGGGCCAGACATTAAACCCATTTGGTTTACTCCAAAGCCTGTTTACTTGATATTACACAAATGCTACTTTAGAGTTTTGAAAGACCATGTGGAACCTGATGGTTGATATCCCTGAACTGTTAGCTGACCTTACGTTTTTTAATAAAATAAATACATGTATACTCAGTGCCTTATGGCCCAGGTGAGTATTTTTACTCAGCAACACACTTAGCTGTCAGTGGCTAGTAGTAATATGTGGCTGCTAGACATGAAATGATTGAGTCCTCCACAGGCACCTTCACAGGAAACAGGTCTGTTTTGAAAAAGTCCTTAGGAAAATAGTTTTTAAATGTGGCTTTATGAGTGAAGATTATTTTTTTTACTGGTATATCTATTTCTTGTGTCCTAGGTACTTTCAAGTTCAATACGGATGCTGCTGAGTTCATTCCTCAGGAAAGAAAAAATTCAGGTCTAAACTGTGATACTAAAAGGAGGCTAGACTCTAATAGGATTGGTAGAAGAATTTACAGTTCACCATCTCCCTGTCACCTTTCCAGGCAGGTGCTGTATGATGACATCCCTGCTGTTCATCAGCACAGCTGTCATTCTTCAGGAAGCAAACCTAAGAGCCAACAGATTTCTTTCCAATCCTCTGCTTCTAATAAATCACCCAAGAGCCATGGCCTTCAGAGTCAGCCTTGGCAGAAATTGAGGAGTGAGAAGCACCATATCAGAGTCAAGAAAGCACAAGGTCTCACTGACCAGACCTCAGATACAGCTGGCTTAGAAAGCGTGACCAGATCAGAGAGTGGGACAAACCCCAGAGAGCACAGCCCTTCTGACAGTGAGAAGGAAGCTGTCAGTGCAGATCCCAGGGGGGCAAAACCCAAAAAAGCAACGCAATTTGCACACAGCTATGGTAGAGGACCAAAAGTTAAGGGGAAACTCAAATGTGAGTGGGGCAACAGAATGACTCCAAAACCTGAGGATGCTGGATTTGAAAATGCCAAACCTGTGGGGGTTTTCCACCCTGACTCTTCAGATACATCTGTTAGAAAAGGAGTTTTGGATGGATATGGAGCCAGACGAAATGAACAGAGAAGATACCCACAGAAGAGGCCTCCCTGGGAAGTGGAAGGGGCCAGGCCACGACCAGGGAGGAATCCACCAAAACAGGAGGGCCAACGGCATACAAATGTAGGACCCAGAAACATGGCCTCCATTCCAAAGGATAATCTCAATGAAAGACCAATAAAATCTGCCTGTGACAGTGGGAACTTGGCAGTCATCAAGTCTTCCAGAAGGGCTGACCAAGAGAAATGCACTATACGGAGGCAGGATCCACCAGTAGTATCTCCTTTCTCCCGAGGCAAACAGAACCATGTGCTAAAGAATGTGGAAACACACACAGGTAAACCTACCTAGATGGGTGTAAATATTTTGGTCTTTGTTTATTTTCATTTTTAAATAATTAATATATTTATATATTTTAATATATATTTTATATATTTTAATATATAAAATATATTTTAATATATTTTGTATGAATATATTTTAATATACTCATACAATTTAGAAACCAAAAAGTAAAAAGGTACACAGTGAAAAGTCTCTGTCGTTATTCACCATCTGCCTGGGTTCTACTACCAACTGCTGTTCCCCTCTCTCTAGTAGGTAACCACTTGATTTTGTATATATCATAAGCAAATACAAATAAGGATTATTATTATTTTTTTTACAAATAAGGAATTTTGTGAGGGTATTTTAAAAATGTAAATATGGATGTTTTATCCAGTAATAAGAGTTTTTTGAGTTGTGAAAGCGCAAGTAGAGGATTGTAACGTATCTACCTCCTTTGTTGGTTTCAACCTGCATCATCTCATGTGCCTCATCTTGTTTGCTTAGTTACAGAGACCTAACTGACCTTACCATCTCTAAATTTCTCTCTTTCAGTTCATCTCTTATACCAGCATCAGAGAGCAATCTTTCCAAAACATTGAACTATGTCATTGTCCTGCTTAATTCTGTTTGGTCCTCATCACCTACAGATTCTGGCTTCTGCCTTACTCAACAATCTCATTTTCTGCTGCCTCAGTATCCACCACATTGTATTCTCTGAATTCTATACTGTTTCTTTTGTTTTTTTCATGCTGTTGCATGCAGTTCCTTCTGTCTAGAATTTCTATCACTCAACTCGCTGGTGAATTCTTACTCATTTTTCAAAAGCTGCTTTAGTCACATGCTCAGGAACCCTTTCTCACATCTACAGATAGCATTAATCCCAGCCCTTACACATATGTCTTTCTCTTACATATGCATGCCTCTATTACAGAATTTATTCCTAGAAACCATACTTTGTTTATGTGTCAGTGCCATCCACTATTCTGTAAGCTCCTTAAAAGCGGAGACTGTATCTTTTCATTTTTTGTAACCCTACTGCCTAACACAGCTCTTGGGACATACTAGGTACTCAGCTCTGACTGTTAGAAAGTTCATCCTTACATTGAACTCAAGGCTTCTTTCCTATAAATACTTTCTGTCCTTTGGTTCAAGTTTTATCCTGTAGAGCAGCATAGCAACTAGTCTGTCTTCTCACAGTTCCTCTCCCCATCATTGCAAATCAGCCTTTTGCAATATTTGAATACATCCATCATTTTGCCTGGATGAGTGTATATTTCATTAAGGCTAATTAGCTTCATTCCACTAGCTCTTCCTCATAGACCTTCATAATCTTGGTATCTCTCCAATTTAATGTGAGATATAGCTTAACCTATGAAGCCACCACCTGCCCAGGACCTGTTTTTACACTAGCCAATAGTTCTAGTTGCTTGCTTCACCAGACAGTCCTTGGAAACTCAACTTGTATGTGAAGCAAAGCAATGTTGTTATGCTAGGGTTGTTTTTGAATCCTTAGGGCTGGTTAATAATTTCCTATTGCTTTATAATGATTTACCACAAATGTAGTGGTTTAAGATAACACAAGTTTATCCTTTCACAGTTTCTGTGGGTCAGGAGTCTGGGTATGGGTTAGCTGGGTTCTCTGCTCAGGGTCTCACAGGGCTGAAATTTGGCCAGGATGTGATCTCATCTGAGGCTCAGGGTCCTCTTTAGTGCTCACTGGTTGTTGGTAGGATTCAGTTCTTTACAGGTATAGGACTAAGGTTCCTGTTTTCTTGCTAGCCGTTAGCCAGAGGAATCACTCTTGGTTCCTAGAGGGTACCCACAGTTCCCTGCCATGTGGCCCTGTCCATAACATGGTAGTTTGCTTCTTTGAGGCCACTGGAAAGTATCTGCTGAAGCTTAAAATCTGTCTGACTTCTTTCTCTAAGCTCGAGACGCTTTTAAAAGAACTCTCCAGAGCCGGGTGCCTATAATCCTAGCACTCTGGGAGGCTGAGGCGGGAGGATCGTTTGAGCTCAGGAGTTCGAGACTAGCGTGAGCAAGCGCGAGACCCTGTATCTACTAAAAAAATAGAAATAAATTAGCTGGACAACTAAAAATATATAGAAAAAAATTAGCTGGGCATGGTGCCGCATGCCTGTAGTCCCAGCTACTTGGGAGACTGATACAGGAGGATCGCTTGAGCTCAGAAGTTTGAGGTTGCTGTGAGCCAGGCTGACGCCGCGGCAGCGTGTCCCGTCTGTTGTCCGAGCTAGAGTGCCGTGGCATCAGCCTAACTCATGGCAACCTCCAACTCCTGGGACTACAGGCATGTGCCACCATGCCCGGCTAATTTTTTTCTATATATTTTTAGTTGTCCAGCTAATTTATTTCTATTTTTTTAGTAGAGATGGGTTCTCGCGCTTACTCAGACTGGTCTCGAACTCCTGAGCTCAAACAATCCTCCCGCCTTGGCCTCCCAGAGTGCTAGGATTACAGGTGTGAGCCACTACGCTGGGCCAAGGCTAAGTGCTATTTTAGGTAGGTTGATGTCTTTGAAAGGAGACATTTGAACAGAGACCAGAATGAAGTACAGAAGTACACTGTTTGGCTCTCTGGAGAAGAGCCTTCCAGGCAGAGGGAGGAACAAATTGAGATGGGGGTAGGGCATCGTGGGCAATGAATGGGAGTTAGCAGAGGCTGAGAAATAGCAGGGGCTGGATAATGTGATATGCTTAGATTTATTTGATTCCAAGAAGATGAGAAGCTTCTGGAAAGTTTTGTGAAGAGGGATAGTATGATTATATATATATCATTTAAAAATATGTAAATGTATAATATATATATTTTTTAGAGACAGGGTCTCACTGTGTCACCCAGGCTGGAGTGCAGTGATGTGACCATAGCTCATTCCAACCTTGAACTCCTGGGCTCAGGCAATCCTCCTGCCTCAGTTTCCAGAGTAGCTGGATTACAGGTAAACACCATCACACCCAGCTAATTTTTAAAAAATTTTTGTTGAAACAGGGTCTCGCTATGTTGACCAGGTTGAGAGATGGGATGTTAGATACAAGAGAATGCAAAAACAAGGATGAAGCCAAAGATTTTGTGCCTGAGCAATTTAGAAGAATGGAATTGGCATTTAATGGTAAAGCCTGGGAGAGGAAAAGGTGTTTTCTTAAAAAACTTGTTAGTTTGGAATAATTTCAGATTTATAGGCAAGTTTCAAAGACAGTACAAAGAATTTCCCTATATCCCTCACCCAGCTTCCTCTAATGTTAACATCTTGTATAACCAGAGCACCTTTGTCAAAAGAAAGCAGAAGAAAGAAAGCAGGCCAGGCACAGTGGCTCATGACTGTAATCCTAGCACTCTGGGAGGCTAAGGTGGGAGGATCACTTGAGGTCAGGAGTTCAAGGCAGCCTGAGCAAGAGCGAGACCCTGTCTCTACCAAAAATAGAAAAAATTAGTTAGGCACAGTGGCATGTGCCTGTGTAGTCATAGCAATTCAGGAGGCTGAGGCAAGAGGATTGCTTGAGTCCCAGAGTTTGAGGTTGCAGTGAGCTATGATGACACCACTGCACTCTAGCCGGGGCAACATACCAAGAGTCTATCTCAAAAAATAATAAAATTTAATTTAATTTCAAAAACTAAGAAAGCAATACTGGTACAATAGTATTAACTAAACTACAGACTTTGGATTTCAACAACTTTTCCATTTATGTCCTTTTTCTGTTCTAGGATCAAATCCAGGGAACTGTATTGCATTTAGTCATGTCTCCTTAATCTCCCATCTGGGATAGTTTAATCTTCTTTGTAGGAAATGGTGTTTTTCCTTTTGTTTTATTTACCTCTTACTCAGGGAAGATAAAAATTTTGGTTAAATTTGAGTTGCCTCAAATTTGACTTCCAAATGAACATGGTTAAGTAGGAAGTTGGATATGACATAATGGCATTCAGGGAAGAGATCTGGACTAGAGATTTAAATTTTGGAATTGTCAGTGTAAAGATCATATTTCACAGACTAGAGGACATCACCTAAGGTGTGATTGTAGTTAGAGAAGAAAAATTTGAGGGCTGAGCCTTAACTATACTCCAGTGTTTCAAGGTTGGAAGATGGGGATTCAGCAGAGGAGATGGGGAAGGAACAGTTATTGAGCTAGGAAGTGAATCATGTTCTAAATGCCAAATAAAAAGATTCAGGGAGGAGGGGGTGGCCAGTTGTGCCCAATACTGCTGATAGGTCCAGAAAGATGACAACTGCATATTGACTATTTGATTTGACAATGTCAAGGTTATTGGCCTTGTTCAGGAAACAACTCCCACCCTGTTTCCCCAAACACTGAGCCCCCATCCTGGGGAGCAGCGAGTATTTCCAATTTAAAGGATTAAGAAACAAACAAACAAAAAGGTTATTGGCCTTGATAAAAACAGTTTTAATAGAGTGGTGGAGAGGAAAGCTTGATTGAAAGGGAGAGTATCACCCCAAATATAAGTTTCCATGGTTATTTAAGAGCGGTCTCTCATTCTGTACTAAAAGAACCTAGTACTGCTCCTGTTCTCTCAGACTGTCTTGATCTATCAGTCAATGAGTGGTAACAAAATGCCCTGCTTCTGCTGTGCTCCTGCTCTTAATTGACCTATGCCCTTCTGTCAATTCACTACTTTCCTAAAAGTCTGTCAGAGTTTGCTGTTTTCCTTAATCCACTTGTTTTTAGTTTCTGGAAGATGGGAAGAACATGTTCCGTCTTCCTCAGTGTCATTTCTTTTTTCTTTTGAGATGGAGTCTCTCTCTGTCAGTTGGGCTAGAGTGCTGTAGCCACCTCGCAGAATGCTAGGATTACAGGCATGAACCATCGTGCCTGGCCCCCAGTGTCATTTCTGAGCCATTATTCTTCTATCTTTGTATCAGAATCCCTGCTCTTTTGAAGCTAGTTGCTACAACACCTTTTAGCTACATCACCTTCCATGTCTCCTTATCTTTGTCATTTATCATTCTCCAAATCTCCCAGCCCCAGCCTTTATTTACTG